GCAGTGGCAGTGGCAGCAGCAGCAGTGATGATGCCTGCATCTCCAGGCAGAGCTGCACAAGCTCACCTTCGCCAATGTCGGTGCTCCTGGAGCGATCCGCTGGACCGTGTAGAGCTCCCTAAACCTAAGGTGAAGATGCGACAGAGAACAAAAGACTTGAACAGTATGAAACTATCTAGTGCTGGGCTCGGTGTGCTTTGAATCAAGATTTTGGAAAGCAGTTTGGGACGGCGATTCCTTTGGCACAACCCCGAGACGCCGACTGGACCCCATCATCAACGTGGATTTTGCAAAAGCAACAGTTTTGAACAGGTGTCCTTGAAAGTGTGCCTTCAGAAACTACCAAGCTCAAAGTCGCTTGCTCTTAGGTCGCGAGGGGGAGGACGTCGAGGCCACCTCAAGATGAATCCGAAAAATCGGCGGTCACTCTTGGGGTAGTTTGGGGTTCGGGATTCGATGAAGGGCTGTCCTAGCATAGTCAGATCATGCCGAGCACGCGCTCTGAGAGCGAAGCTCCAACTCGCGAGGCCTTGAACTTTACTACGGTTGCATTACTGGTCACAGAGTTCAAAGTTTAGCCTTGGCATCATAGAAACTAAGTGTATGGGTTTTCGGGCTTGAAGCTGGAGCTGCCTCGGGCTTTGAGCATGGCTGGTAGTCGGGCACGGGCTGGGTCTACGAGCCTCAACTCAAGCTTGCAGGATCAAGCACCATTAATTCATTAATGCTTTCCGATGTCTTCATGTGAGCAGGCCCTGCATCGGCTTGACCGGCTCCGTCGGCGACTCTCCCGAGAGCAGGCAAAGATAGATGGACTCAATGTGGCTCACGATGAGGTTTTCAATATGATTCATTATTTGATTCCTCGCTGTGGAACAGCCTTTGGCCTGATAGCACTCCAACACACACTTGATCAATGGGAATCATCATCTCAGGAGAAACGGAATCATCACATAGGTGTGCACATGAGGACAATGGGGTCCGGCTTAGGGTAACCAGGGTCAACATGTTTCTCGGCAACGCGGCAGGGCGAACTCGACGCCGAGGCCCCTCTTGCTGTCAAACCTGTTCCAGTTGGTTTGGCGGGATGGTGATGACTGGTAGTGTGCAGCGAAAGGACGACTGGACTGAGGCCATCAGCTCCTTGCCGTCACTAACCGGTTGCACATGACCTCAGGCTCAAAGGCCCTTGAGCGAAAGATCTGATAGGCAATTGCACCCTGCCCTGGACCATGAGCAGCATCCGCGGCCCAACTGTCTGTCGACTTCTAGTGTTGGATCGTTCCTGATGTAGTATCATGGAACTGGAGGAACATCGTCCGTCCGACGTGTCCTCTTTAGCCCAGCCTGACACACACGCACACACACAGAGACAGACAGACACATTGCCATGCTGGCCGTCCCCATCAAGTTCCCAAGCCAAAGCGTGACAGAGCAGCACCATCTTCCGGATTGCTCCCGCGCCATGTGGCCATGCTTGGGGTACACTGGGAGGCCTGTGTCTGGGGTTGCGGCGCTTCCGCTTGGGCAAAGCTTGGGAGGGGTTTGGGACGGCAGTTTGAGCCTATCGAGTCTTATTATTCAACCAACCGAGCATTCCAGTAAAGTATGCCAGCACTCGCCGAATATCCCTGAGACCCATGAGCTCTGAAAAAGCACGAACCCGATATTCGCGCTCAGTCAGGGTTGACGGTATTCTGTTTCAAGGACTTGAAGCCCCAAAGGCCCCGGCACGCTGAAAACAACCCTAACACCCCAAAGAACCTTAACTTTGGGGTGACCGGTTGACAGTATACTATAGTCTACTACAACAAAACATGATATAGTATACGCATAATCTACAATCTGATCTATAGTCTAATCTTATATGTATGTCATGTGTATATATTTAGTAATGTATACTCTAGCATATATCAACAGTCCAAATGTGTAGTCTGCTATATAACCAGTACCTAGAATTTAACCTGATACATAGCTGCCAGGTGAAGCTCGGCTCGAAGTGGGAGCCACTGGAGGAGCGGAGAAAGGGCAATCTGGAGGCATAAACAATTACCAATACTAGTT